AAAAAAAGGTAAGGATTATGATAACTTACATGTATGAATAAGAATTTTGCCAAATATTGTGATCAGATTAATCCCCAGTCTCATATTTATATTAGTCCTCTTCTCATGCAAACCAGAAATAGCATAGTGAAACATTAGCATCTATATTACAAATAATAAAGTGATTACAACCTTTTATTTTATGTAATTGCTTTGCATTTTCAAAATAAATGATTGATTGTTTCTGGATGCTCTGTGCAAACTGAACTATAGGGGCCGATTTTTTTTGAATAGTCTATATTTCATCACTTCATGGTTAGTAGGCTAAATCCTATGCAATGCTTTAAAAGAAACCTTTCTCATTTTTTTATTAATCAAAAGTTTTGGAGAAAATTTCCCTATTTGTTCCCCCTGTGAATCTGGGAGAAAGTTCTTTTAAAACAATGCACTAATTATATCCTGCCTGAAAAGAAGATTTTATTATCTTTACAGGATGGAGAAAAAGCAAGCTTTACCGTAGATGGTATTAGCTACCTTTAAAGAAAGATTTAATTTCAACATAAAGACTATTTTATGTTTTATGTCATGAAAAATAAGTATTGATCCAAACTCCAGTCTAGAAGGTGACGGTAATGCACATACATTAGATTGTTTGCCAACCACAATAAAATACCAAAAAGAAGAAGAAGGAATTATGGGAGCAACATGTCTGCACAGCAGAAATGGTGACAATAATACTAAGCTTACAATGGGTAGAGGAAGTTAGACCAGACAGGGTGGTGGTCTGTACAGATTCCAAAGCAGTTTTAGAAAGTACACAGGGAGAAGGAAATGATAGAAAAGGTTTAGTTTAAAAAATCAAACACAGTCTATTTAGATTATATAGGAGTGGCATTGATGTTTGGTTATGTTGGGTTCCAGCACATGAAGGTATAAAAGGCAATGAAAAGGCAGATATATTAGCAAAAAGGGCTTTAGAGGGAACAATAATTATTGCAATTCCTTTTTGGAAAGAAGGTAAATCACTTATTAAAAGAGTAAAGAAATTGAAAAATGGCAAAAGAGATGGAATGAAGATAAGAAAGGAAGAGGATTATATAAGGTAGAAAAATCAGTATTAAATAGAAACATTAATGAGAGAAACAGAAGGGAAGGAGTAATAATGATCAGATTAAGAGTGGGTCATACCTGTTTAAATGACAATTTAAATTTAATAGCGAGGAAAATAATCATAAATGTGAAGGGTGTGGAGAAAAAGAAAATGTAGGACATAAAATGTAAAATGTATGAAAGTGAAAGGGAGAAATTAAGAAGGATGGTGGGAAGGAAAGGCCAAGAATGGAGCCTTATATTGGGAAATGGAGGAAATATAAAAGATATTCAGAGAATAAGGAAAGCATTAATTATTTATCTACAGAATACAAAAAAAAAAAGAATTTGATGTAAAGTAATGTTGTTACACTCGTGCACAGTAGGTGGCTGTATGCACCTTAAAGTTGCTTGCAAACCGCCATTATAAAAAAGAAGAAGAAGAAGAAAGATGTCTGCGCCCTATCTTTACCCTTATGTATGCATAGCAGCATTTTCTAGTTGTCTTTAAGAAGATCGCTGTTATTTAAAGGGTTTTGTTGTGGTTTTATCTCAGAGGATGGGTGAGCAGGGGAACGGACCGGGGCTCTCCCGGGCAGTGATCGCTGAAATGTTGATAAAAAACTTTGAGAAGCTGCCTGACATCGATCAGAAGCTCTTCATGTATGGACCCTTGTATCTGGGGGGAAACGCCGGCCTGGCGGGGCTGATCGCCAACAGTCTGTACCGGAGGACTCTGAACGTCCAAGCGGCTCGCTTTGCCTCCAACCTGCCGATGGCCGTGCTGCCCTTCCTCACCACCTGCGCTCTCTACAACGCTGCGGTGTCTCAGCCCCTCCTCACCGGGGAGCTCAACTGCCCCACCTGCTCCCTGCTCAGAGGCGCGCTGGTCGGGGTGGTCGGTGGGGGCCTGTACCCGATGCTCCTGGCTTTACCGCTCAACTTCGGCCTTGCATCCAGATACAGCACCGCTCCGCTGCCAGAGAAGGGCGCCATGCTGCGCTACTGTGTGGACATCTCCAGACCCGTCTTTAATAAGATGAGGGCAGTTTTTCTTCTGCAGGCTTTCTTCGGCACCTACCTGGGCTCCAGGCATTTCCAGAGTTACACCACGCTGGCTCACATCACCTTCGGCAAGAGCGAAGATCTGCAAGATTAAAATAAAATGCACTGAGAAAAACCTCCTTATTTTATACTGATGCCAATCTGATGTAACTTTGGTTGATTACTGGAGAATAAAAGGACATCTGGACTAATATTTGTTGTCATTACAACATTCTCTCAATTTATTGCT